CAAAAAAATGAAAAAGAAAACCACTTCAAAGTACATCACTATCAAATTGCTTAAAGCCAGTGATGAAATGAAAAATGTCAAGGAATTAAAGAAGAAGGAAACATGGAACAAACCCAGACTTCTCATCAGAAATAATTCAAGACAGGAGACAAGAGAACACAATTTTAAAGAGCTAAAAATATTAACACATACCTCTATCTAACAAAAAGTAGTTTTTAAGGAAGGTGAAACAAAGGCATTTAAAAGACAAAATCTAAGAACATATTTTGCCATCAAACTTAAAGTATATGAAACATTAAAGAAAGTTCATCAGATGGAAAATACGTTACGTGAAACCTTCGATATACACAAAGCCATCACGAGTGGTGGAAATAGTAAAATATGTTAGGAAATACAAATGATTCCTGATTATTTTAAAACTTACTGCCTGTGCTGCTAGTGTGGATGTATGAAAATAAGGCGAAATAGCAGAAAGGAAGGAAGATGAGAAATGGCAGTCTGAGGTTGCAACGTCCTTGTGTTATATGTGAAATGGGATTAAATAAATAAAGAGGTGCAGCTGGCTAATAAACCAGGAGAGAAGATGGAAAGAAGTCCAGTACCAACAAGTTGCTAATCTCAAAGAATACAAAAAAGGAAAAATGAACAAAGAACTGATGGAACAAACAACAAAAAATGGTAAGATAGCAGCCTTAATTGCATATATGTTAAATGATAGGAATAACCCGGTTAAGAGACTGTCAAACTGGATTTAAAAAATAAGAGTAAGATAATAGAAGGCACTAAAAACTGTATACACATTTTAAGAAAGGAAAAGACAATGTTAACATTGTGATACTCCATTGGTGTTTGACTTCTGCAGTTACCAGAGGTGCTCAGTGAGACTGGCATTCATCTTCTGTTCACAGTATATATCGAGGATTACAATTTTAGTACAGTTTTTCCTTTTTTTAAACATGCATACATTTTTTGGCACCCTCTGTATATAATTACCCTCAGTAACTTTAAAGATAAATCCAAAGAGATTAAAACGATGTGCAAAAACTAATCATCAGAGTTTAAAATGGTTATATTGTCATTCGGATCGGGAACTAAAGATGACATCACATAATGAGAAAGGGGCAAATTTTCCAAGAATCTACAACAAGTTTCAAGGTATCTGTGCCCGTCAATGGTGCTTCAAAATGCTTGAAAACAATAGAATGGAAAGGAAAAATCCAGGATCACATGGCTTCACTGGAGGATTGAACTGAACATTTACAGAGGAAGTAAACGCATGAATCTTACACAGTAGCAGACAGTGAAATCCATGTCGATCCATATTTTTTACCCTATTCAAAAATAACCTCAAAGTGAATCCTAGACCACACTGTAAAACTCCAAAACACTAAAATTTATAAAGTAAAACATAAGAGAAAATTTGTGTTGCATTAGATTATGCAAAGATTTATTGGCTGCTACAACAAAAGTCTGATCTGTAAAGAAATAGTTGATAGTTTGAGCTTTACATAAACTGCAAATTTCAGGGAACAGTGTTAAGGGAATGCAAAGATAAGCAACAGGCTGGAGGGCATTACGTATGAAACATATCACTGAAAAACTGCTCGTGTCCAGAATATATAAAGAACTCTTAAAATGTAATAAGAAAAGCAGCAACTCAATTTAAAAGATTGGCAAAAGAGTTGATCAGATACTTTACCTATGTGTGTGTTGTGGGGTGCTGGGGGGGATGGATAAGTACATGAACAGATGCTGAACATCATTCATTATTAGGGAAACGCAAATTAAAACAATGAGACATCGTGATACATGTTTGGAATGTCTAAAACAAAAACAACTGACATTATCAAGTGGTCTTAGGGATGAAGAACAACTCAAACTCTCATTCACTGTTGGTGGGAATGCAAGATGGCATGGTCCGTTGGAAAATAGTTTGGCAGTTTCTTATGAATTTATCCAGATACCTGCCATACACCTCAGGGAATTAACGGCTGAGGTTCACATTTTTATGTGAATGTTTATAGCAGTTTTGTTTGTCATAGTCAAAAACTGGTGCTAATGTAAATGTCCATCAGCTGTGGAACCCCCACCTATACTGTGTGCATATTTGCACAGTATAATGAAACACTTCTCAACAATAAGAAGGACTGCCCCAGTGACACATGCAACAGCGTGGATAAATCTCAATACAGAATGCTAAGTGAAAAAAGCTAGACTCAAAATTGTGTACTGTGTGATCCCACTTATACGACATTCTTGAAAAGACCAAATTACCAGGACAGAAAACAGATCATGCTGGTAGGGGTTGGGAGTCAGGGGAGAGTTTAACTACAGATGGCACAGAGAAGATTTTTGGGTGATGAAACTGTGCTTGTATGCTGTATGCATTGTATATATGGCATATGGTTATGGTATGCATTTTCAAAGCTTAAAGAACTATACCCTAAAAAAAAGGTCAATTACATTGTATGTTAGGTATACTTTAACCTTTGCAATAGCATAAAAATATCAAATATGCAATTAATAAATATGTCCAAGACCTATACACTGAAAACATTGTTGAAATAAATTAATAAGAACCTAATAAAGAGGAAGATATATTTTGTTCATATCAAAATATATATCTTTATATTGATAAAATATAGTCCTTCCCAGATGGATCTATAGTTCAGTGCAACACTATTGAGCAAACACAACCACTTACTTTTGGGGAAATCCAGGAAATGTTTTTAAAATGCCTATGGTAAGTCAGAGGATCTATAATACCTAAAACAGTTTTGAAAAGGAAAAAATTACAGGCTTAGGATAAAGTTGCAAAAATAAATACAATGTGGTATTCTCATAAAGGCAGACATATAAGTCAAACATGATCTTATCGTAAAACCCAGCAACTCTGGTCTGAGGTACTTACTCACAAGAAGTGAAAACCTATGCCTACTGAAATACTTGTACATAATTTTTTTAAATTAAATCATAGCTGTGTACATTAATGCAGTCATGGGGTACAATGTGCTGATTTTATATACAATTTGAAATGTTTTCACCAAACTGGTTAACATAGCCTTCATGGCATTTTCTTAGTTATTGTGTTAAGACATTTATATTCTACACCTAGTAAATTTCTATCTTACCCTTGTAAGACAGACTGTAGGTGTGGTCCCACCAATTACTCTCCCTCCCTCCATCCTCCCCCTCCTCTCCCCTCCATCTTCCCTCCCTCTCCCCTTCTTCTTGTACATAAATTTTATAGCATTTTTATTTTTAATAGCTATAAACTGGAAAAAAACCCACTATACCTGTTTGTGCATAAATGACTATTATACCAGATCAGTTTGATGAAATAGTGTTAAGTACTGAAAAGAGATGAACTTCAAGTGTAATATATATTCATGGATTTCAAAAACTTCATAATAAGCAAAGAAAGCCAGCCAGAAAAGAGCCCCCCGAACGTACTCTATGATTTCATTTATGTGAAATTTTATGGGAGACAGACTAATCTACCTTGACAGAACGTCGTGGTCTGTGGCTGGGGTTAAGATTGTGAAAGACATCGATGGCAATAAAACCTTTGGGGTTGATGAAAATGTTTTATGGCTTGATTGTGATTTTGGTTACAGGAGTGTTGATGCTTGTCAAAACTGATAGACCTTTATATTCATTTTTATTTCATGTAAATTATACTTCAATCAAGATGTTTTTAAATTAGCACGTACGCTGTCCATTGTGTTTTTAAGGTGGAGAAATGTTATTTTAATTTTACCTTTGTTTCCTTGTATTCTAATAATACTATGGGAGATATTTTGAAAAAATGAACTAAGTTGTTTTTTTTTCTTTTAAGTAGCACAGTGGAAGCAATGACATCATTTCAGCTGTTGTGTTTATTTTAAGGAAGTAACTTACCAAGTGACATGCAGACATAGCTTTAAGCCTGGTTGTTAGCATAGACTCTGAAGACCAAGAGGATGTTCTGATTACATTTATTTTTCATTCACACAAAATTACACATGAATGTAGCCCCTAATTTTATGAATAAGAAGAAGAAAGAGGAATTTTCAGGGTATTGCATTTATTTTCAGAAGGTATCAGATTCTGGAAATTTCTCCCTGACAGTAGCACCTTTAAGGCGTAGACTTTTAAGTCTACAAATAGTGACGTGAGTGGCAGACCCACCACCAGTTACAGGATCAAGAAAGACAATTTTCTCTTCCCCACTACATTACAAGTATCAACTTACAACAAAAATAAAAGTCTTTAATGATTCCATGAGAAAGTTATATACAAAAAGAAAGGGCCCATTTTCACATAGCGAACCAGCCTAGGGTGTTTGTTTTCATGAAAATCCTTCATGCTGGTGCAGATGGACCCTCTCTTACACTGCTCATGGGAATGTGGATTGACAGATTGCAGGAAAACTAACAGGGATGAAGTAGGGACAGCAGAAGGGAGAGTTGGTTTCCTCCTCTGGTGCTTTCCTGAGTCAAAGGATCTCTAGATAATGCTGCTGCCCACACAAAGAACACATTTAGATTTATTGAGTCATCTCTTATTTTTGAATACGCTCAAACAGACAGACCTCTTCTTATGCAAACAAATCGCCACAGTTATGCGAAATAGAATTGTAATGAAATGACTCCCATTTCTGTGTTACTGGATGGCTACATAGTGTGAAAACAACGCACACTTCTTTATTTCTTAACCACCTTCCTGCCAGGGCCTTCTTTGAATTTTATCCCATCTTCTCTCATTTTCTTGCTCTCTAATTAGAAAACCACGTGGTTATTTTTGCCCTAGGATATGAGATTTCTTCCCTCCTGATTTGGAGTTTTATCAGTGTCAACTTTGCCGTGCACATGAAAAAAGTTTTTAGTGTTCTGGGTATGTTGAATTTTTCTATTAAATGTGTATTTGTGGCCTAACATTTACTTATTTTGTTTTTAATTTTAAACAAAATATCTAGGAGGATCTTGACATTTAAACTATTGTGTTATTTATATTTGCAGTTCCCTGAATGTGGTTTCTATGGAATGTACGATAAGATTCTGCTTTTTCGCCACGACCCTACCTCTGAAAACATCCTTCAGCTGGTGAAAACGGCCAGTGATATCCAGGAAGGTGATCTTATCGAGGTGGTCTTATCAGGTAGTGTACTTTTTTCCTCTCCATGGATTAATCGTACGTGAAGCATTCTTGGGTAACATAAAAAGCGTATGTCAAACTCAGCCCCAACAGAGATTTGGGAGTTCTGTCTACTTGAGAAAGGAAAACAAAAGGTGTCCTTTGAATTGGCTGTTTCCATACTCAGTACTGTCCCCGTTATGTCTCCTAGCTTCCTCCCAGCCCCCACCCAGCCCTCAACAGCACACACACACTCACAAACCCACACAGGGCTTGGAAGATTCAGCACCTTGAATCAATTGGACAGCAGCAAAAGCAAACAAAAGACTCAACAGTGAAGCGAAGGCAGCTGACAGGGCCCTAAATATACTGAGTGTATAGAAGCCAAGAAGTAGCAGCAGCTCTAAGAAGCTGTTGACTTTTATGTTAAAATCCAAAGTCCAGTAGCTACGAGGTAAGCCAAGGGCAGGGAGGAAGCCAGGGCTCAGGGGTCAGAGCAGGTTGGGTCATGCCACCTGACTCAGTCCCTGGGAACTGGATGCCTGTCCATCTGCTTACACTTAAATTTTTTTGTTTAGCATTTAGGAGTAAATGATAGGACTGTGCCTATTCATACAGAAAAAAAAATGTGTTTAAATTTTTTTTTTTTAAAGTGCTGTAGAACAGCTATCATTACATCTGTGGTCAGTGCCATGATCATGAAGTTGTACAGATTTTTACTGTTTACTTATGTTAAAAAGAAAGTCCTTGTGGAGAAACTCAGGCTGCATTTCTTTGTTCTCTCTAGCTTTCTTTGCTTGCTATGTGTTTGGCTAGAGGAAATAGAGGGGCATTAATGATTCTGGACTTTATTTCCTCAAGATCCGCAACTTGTTAAGAGCCCAGTACCTGGGTGCACTGCTCACAATTCAGCTTATCTTGTTAACTTTTCTTTGTTTCAATCTAATTCATTATTCGTCTTTACTGGTTGCTCACGTTTGCTCATGTTTGTGCCAGGTCTCGAGCTTGCTGCATTTTCATCGTATAGATGGATCTTACAAAATAATTTGCTAGATGGACATAATAATCTTCCTATTGTTTGTAAGGTTGCCCATTGCTAAAAGAATAAACCAAAAGAGCAAAAGCTTTGATGGCTTTTTAATTAATTTTTTCGAAGGAGTCACTTGCTTCTCCCATTTACTTTTCTTTGGCTCTTTAGACATTTTCTCACTGCACCTGGTCGCTCAAAATCGGACACTAGACATGTTATTTTCTAGGTTTTCTGTTTCTGAACACTAGAGGCTGCCTGAAATAAATTATTCAGGACAATCATGCCCTGGATAAGTTCTCACTATAATTCATATAAAGTCACGGCCAATCTGCATAGCAAATAGTGTTATGTATTTTCTAAGTTCCTTTTTCTGTTTGCAATGTCCAGAAATATAAGAGAACTTTGAAAACTGCATTTCTAAATTTAATTTTTATTTTACTGTTTTACTTTTGTTATCAAGCATTTTATAGTGGTAGACAGATTGAATGCAACCTGTGTGTGGGTGTGATTGTGGAGGGGTGGCTGCCTGTTTTCATGGTGTCCCAGCGTCAGTGCGCTGGACCTGCTCATCCCCCAAGTTGGCCTCACCCAGCCCTTTAGTCCCCTGCTGCCTGAGGACCAGCATTCTGCTTTTCCTCTTCCCATCTTTGCCAACTGAGAACTTCATTGTGCTTATGCCCCACTTCCCTGGCCGTCCGCCCTTTATGACCCATTTCTCCTGTCTTCCTGGCCACAATTGCTGGGAGGGCACTGAACTGCAGCCCTTTCCTCACTTGCTCTCCCTGCATCAGGCTCAGGAGGGACTCCCTACTCCTAACAGCTATATTGTTTGTACATGAAAGGAGCCAGAAGTCCAATTTTAACTTTGAGTCACAGAGTCCCACTTCTTCAATATCATCGGATCCATTAGTTATTCGATTGTATGCATTCATTTATACACACACACATGTATTCACTTATGTTAGATCTCCTGCACTTACTTGTAGACATCTCTGGCAGCAGAATTCTCCCAGCCCCTCTCCTCTTCTAGTACTTTGCATTGTGATTTGCTTGATGAATGTAACGGCTTTTAAAACTTCTCACCGCTTCGTAACACAACCCAATCTCATTTCCATATTGCTTACCATTTTCCCCATGTTCTCTTTATGCCTCGAGTCCTCTGTGACCAAATGCTTGATGATTTCTTCATTCCCCTTGATCTTCTCAACTTCCTTGCAGCCTGACTTCCCTCAGGTGACACCCTGGTCCCTTCAGTCCAACAGACATTACCTCTTACTGTCCTAAGCTTTTAGATGAAGAGTTGAGTGAAATGATCCTCTTCTTATTTCTCAGTGTCATTTTTAGTTTTTTCTGCACCATCCTCCCTCCAGGCAAAAGATGTCTATTTTTGCTTCTTCATTACCTTTTTATTTATTTATTTATTTATTTATTTATTGTAGTTTTTGGCCGGGGCTGGGTTTGAACCCGCCACCTCCAGCATATGGGGCTAGCGCCTTTGAGCCACAGGCACCTCCGCATCACCTTCTTTATAATATTGCGCTGAGGTTATTTACTCCCTTGAAGACTCATTTCCATTTAACTATGGTAATAACCCATGCCACGCTCCCAATCTTACTTTCCATTTTATGCACCCTTTATCCTTGGTAGAATTAACATGCACTGGATCACTTGTATTTCTTTTTGTAGACAGTTACCCAAACCATTCCTGACGTCAATAAGACAACGATCCAACTGCAAGACCTCCACTTGGTGTGACTCTGCCTAACTCTTGCCTGTCCATCTTGCCCATCTCTACCAAATGCACCAATCTGTTTCTTGTCTTTTTAACTGTATTTCAATCATTAACTACCCTGTCATTTTTGGACTATATTTTTCCTTTTCTCTTTCCCTCCCCATAGCATGTGCCCATTATTTGCATGTCTTATACAACCTTGTTGCAGACTCAGTGACTCTGTATGCATCAGCAGGACTCACTCAGCCTATTAATAATAAGAATTAATTTATCGTCCATTCTTGCCCTGTCTGTTCCTGAGCCACATATGACTATTAGACACAGAGTCCACTGCCCACCTAGCTAGATGTGGATCTGCAGATCCAGCTTTTATCTGACCTTTGTTCAGAAATTTTCTTCCTCCTCATGCCCATCCTTCTGTGATTGTTGATGTGAGATTCTCAATAAACATGCATGAAGTAATTGGTTGACCACTGGCTACCAGAATAGAAGTTATCACATATGCAGTGTTTTGTAAAACTATTTGCTATAAAAATGTTATTTCTAGATATATCCTCACTCATGAATTGATGGGCACTGGGTTGATTCCACATCTTTGCACTCGTGAGTTGTGCTGCAGTGAACTTTTGAGTGAAGGTGTCTTTCTGATGAAAAATCTTCTTTTCCTTTGGGTAGATATTCAACAGTGTGATTGCTTGAATGATAGATTAACTTTTAGATCTTTGAGAAATCTCCACACTGTTTTCCATAATAGGTATACTAATCTGCAATCCCACCAACAGTACATGTATATAGGTGTTCCTTTCTCTTTGTGTCTACTGTAGCCATTCTAACTGGGGTAAGGTGATATCTCATTGTGGTATTAACTGGCATTTCCCTGATAACTGGTAATATTAAGCTTCTTTTCTTAAGTTTATTGACCATTTGTCTTTTTTATTTTGAAAAAAATTCTCTTCTATGTGCTTTTTTTTTTTTGGCTCACTTTTTGATAGGCTTGTTTGGGATATTTTCTCACTTATTTGTTTGAGTTCTTTGAGATTCTGGATATTAACCTATTTTAGAATGTACAGCTTGTGAATATTTTCTCTTATTCTACAAGTTGTCTATTGTCTCTGCTGTTTTCTTATGTGTGCATAAGCTTTTTGGCTTAATCAAATTGCATTTATTAATTTTTTTTGTTGCCCTGACTGCTATTGGGGTCATAGTCGTAAATTCTTTTCCTAGGCCAATATCTAGATGAGTACAATTGAATGTAACACCTCAAGAAACTAGAAAAGGAAGGAAAAACTAAACTTAAAGCCAGGAGAAGAAAATTAATAAGGAAAGTCAGAACAGAACTAAATTAATTGTAAAACAAAGCACATACAAAGGACTAATGAAATAAAAATTTGTTCTTTAAAGAGAAAAATAAAATCAACAGATCTCTTGCTAGATTAACCAAGAACAGAAGAGAAAGGAACCAGATAAAGTCAATCAGAAATGAAAAAGGTGACATTACATACCATAGAAATATAAAACATCATTCATGAATACTCTATAAATCTCTACTTGCATAAACTAGAGAATGTAGAGAAAATGGACACATTTCTGTAAACACACAACTTTGGGAGACCCAACCAGGAAGAAATGGAATTTATTGATAGACCAATAACAACAAAATTGAAACAGTAATAAAAAACCTCTCAATCCAAAAAAGCCCTGAACCAGGTGGATTCAGAGATGAATTCTCTCACACCTACAAAGAAGACCTGGCACCTATAATGCAGATATTAGTCCAGAACATTGAAAGGAGGGAAACCCCCTTAACTGTGTCTGTGAAGCCAGTATCATCTTGATATCAAAGCCAAGAAAGGATGCAATAAATAAAGAAAACTATAGACCACATCCTTTATGGATATAGATATAAAAATCTTCAGTAAAATACTAGCAAACAAAGCTTAATGGCACATCAAACATTAAGCCACCATGATCAAGTGGGCTTAATCCCAGGGATTCAAGGATGGTTCAGCATAGGTAAATCACTAAATGTGACTCACATACAAAGAAGCAAAAGCAGAAACCATATGATCATCTTAATAGATGCAGAATAAGCAATCGACAAAATCCAGTACCCTTTCATGGTAAGTATCCTCAACAAACTAGTCATAGAAGGAACAATTGTAAAAGCCATATATGACAAACCCATACCAACATCATAATGAATAGGAAAAAGTTGAAAACATTTCACCTTAGAACTGGAACAAGACAAGGGATGTCTGCTGT